TAATCCTCAACTCTCTCAACATGGCAATACAATGCAGATGTTGTACGAGATGAAATAGCAAGATTCATAGTTGCTACGGACTCTCCCATTTGTTTATCTAAAAATCCTTATTTTATTCACATGATTAAAACTGTATTTTGTCTAGCATATACCCCTATTAGTAGAAGTACAAGTAGAAGAGATATACTAGAACTTTATAACAAAATAAATAATAAACTTTAAAATGAATTTCAAAATTTTAGGAATATATCTATTGCACTTACATCAGACATATGGGCTTGCAGATCAAAAACCGATTTTTTAATTGTCATGGTACATTTCTTAGATCATAATTGGGGTTTACAACAAAAATTGATGGGATTTAAACCATTAGATGAAAAACATAGTGCTGAAACTATTTATTTTACAATTCTTGAAGTTTTACAAGAATATTTATTAATTGATAGAGTTGTAGCGTTAACGCTTGATAATGCAGTTGCTAACACCGCGACAATCTCTTTATTTTAAAAGAGATTGGATCCGCGTGGTGAAGGCAAATTTTTTCACCAGAGATGTGTTTACCACATCATCAATTTGATAGTTAAAGTAGGTTTAGATGTTATACATTCGAAGATGGAGAGGGTGCGCGCGGCTATCGGATTTATCATTGGCGGTAGCAATAAAAGATGGCAGGAGTAGTCAAATATTGTAAGCAAGATGACCCACCGGTTCAACCTTTGAAGTTATGTACGGACATGCCTATCCGTTGGAACTCCACCTACTTGATGTTGGAAAAAGCTTTGCCAGCCGCAAAACAAATTACAGATTTCGTCAACCGAAAGCACTATCCAAAGGAAGTTGTCAGCTATGATGATTGGGCGGTTTGTGAACTTTTTATTCATTTCTTAAATTTTTTTATTATTCTACTAATACATTAAGTGGTATTTATTATCCGACTACTAATTTAGTGTTAGATATTTTACTTCAAATTGCGAAAACTTTTGCTAAATATATATATAATAACGTTTTAAGGGAAATTGTTTTAAAGATGGAAGAAAAATATGAGAAATATTGGTTAGATATTCAATTCTTATATGGATTAGGCCTTGTTGTAGATCCTAGGTTTAAATTACACGTAGTTAACTGTATAATTACTGAGTTAGTCCAGCATTTAAGACATGATTATACGTCTTATTTGACTGACTTTAAACAAAAATTGGATAGCCTTTTTTCTTTATATGAGAACATGTACAGTGGAAGTGGAGGTGGAACGTTTAGGAGAAACGATCAGGACCCTAATGCAGACCTCCGTCAAGGATCGAGCAAGTGGACGTATACGGAACATGGCGGAAGTAGCAGCTCTAGCTTGTACATACATGGACCAAATGAGCTGAATCACTACCTACAAGTGGACCTATCCTTTATGACGATGAAGGAGAAACGTGACATGGATATTCTTCAATGGTGGAACCAACATGAAAGTCGATTCCCCATTGTAGCCCAAATGGCGCATGACATTTTATCTATGCCGGTTTCTACAATTGCATCCGAGTCAACATTTTCAACGAGTGGCCACATTGTTGAAGACAGAAAATGTTCTTTAACCGATGAGATGATTGAAGTGATAACGATTAACGTGTTTACGGGATTGGACTCATGCAGAAAGAAGACTACAACAGCACCTTGAAGATCTCAAACTACTCAAACTCTTTAGGAATACAGATTTGAATGATGTAAATATTGTTGACGATGAAGATGAATAATTTAATAAAAAAATATTATTTAATTGTTTATTTGTGAAGCATGAATGTGTGAAATGTGAATATTACATTTATGTTAAAATTAACTATTAATTTATTATTTTTTTAAATTAACTATTAATTTATTATTTTTAAAAATTAATTAAACTTTTAGAAACTTACTAATTTACCCTTGAAAAATACTAAAAACCCCCTACAAAATTTTGTTTCGCCCCTAAAATATAAAAAAAGATCAGAGGGGAAAAATAATTTTTCTAGGCCCATAGGACCGGTCATAGGGACCGATCCGGGTCCTAAAATTGCTTATGGGCTTGGGCTCATGAGTGATTGGTCCCATTTGGGACCAGTCCCAAACGGGCCCAGGCTCGAGCCTGCTTGGGACTGGCCCTTGACCAGCTCTAGTCTTAAGTGGTTTTGTAGGAAAGAAATTTGTATTGAAGTAGGAATTTGAGGGTGAAGTGGTTTTGCAGGAAAGAAAATGGCTTTTTCCAATAATACCCCCTCAAGCATAAAATTCTGACAAGGGACTCCTACCAACTTGGGAACTAGCCACTTCGACCCCCTATCGTGAGTTTTTGCTGTTATTTTGGACGTAAGACTGTAGTTNTTGTCATCTTCATGTTTTTATCTTGGTGTAAATAATGTAAATGATAAATGTTTATGAAACACCTTTGGAAGCTTCCACCCTGTAAATATGTTTTGATTGTGTAATTTCCGGATAAATTCTTAAAGTTTATAAATTATAAGTTTGGATCTTGCGTGACATTTTATATGCATGTTTTGGATATTACTATTATTATCCTTACATAGATATTTTTTCTAAATACAACTCGTTCTTCAGACATGTATCCTCGGGATTCTCATTTAGGGATATTCAGAGGATACCTGACTGGAGGGGGGTTTTACAATAACCCAGAAACGCGGCTATCGCATGTGATGCATGTACGCGACAAAAAATAGCGTATGCCACGACGATATAATCCATCGTTGCTGAGCGTACTTTTGAATGCGTAAGGGGCCAAAGTGAAAAGTTTCAAAACTTTTGGACCAAATGTTAGAGGGTAATTAATAATTCACCCACCCAATTCAAAAATTGATTGTTTTTTAATGTATGTAATGTACTTGTTTGAATATTGTATGATGCCCGATACATGAGCCTTAAGACCTATGGTGAATGTTTTAAAATATTTTTGGGTATGTATGATTGTAAATTTTAAAATAGGGCATGCATGTCCTGCCTTTCTTCCCCTTCTCGATGTACATTCTCTTCTCATCTCATTCCTCTCGAATGTAAATCGAGGTTTCTAAATTTATTGATTAAAAATAGTTTGAGATTAATTTTATTGTAAATTTAGTATGATGTTTTTGTAATGTACTTGAAGACGGAGCAAAGGGAGAGGCAATCATACTTGAAGACTCAAGATATTTATTATAGGACCCCCTAGGTGAACCATCGATTCCTCTAGGCTCGAGAAAATCTGTTTTAGTTGGGCCATGTACCGACACGTTTATATTTTGTTTAGAATGCATGCTAAGTAGAGCTGGGCATTTGGGACCGGGCCCAAAAGCCTAGCTCTAAAAACCGGTCCTAGGAGGTCTAGTCCCAAAACGGGACCAGGCCTTAGGAGGAGGGCTCGGGCCCTCCACTGGGCCCTCCTCCAAGGCCCGGGCCTGGGATAGGTCCCAAGCCTGGGCCCAAAAAAATTTGTATATTTTCAATGTAGTCCTCTGCCAAATTACATAAAACCCCCTGTTAATTTTAAATAGATATAAATTACGAGGGTTAAAATAAAATTTTACAAAATTTATTAAAAAAAAATCTTCCAGGTCTAAAAAATTTATAAAATTTATAAATTTTACCCCTAAAAAATACTAAAAACCCCCAATAAAATTTTGTTTTACCCCCAAAATATAAAAAAATTTGAGGGGGCAAAATGAAATTGTCCAAGGCCCATGGGACTGGTCCTAGGACCGGTCCTGGGCCCATGGGACCAATCCCGACCAGGCCTAAGGCCTGGTCCGGGTCCTGGTTTTTCTCATGGGCCTGGGACCGGTCCCAGGCCCATGAGTGACTGGTCCCATTTGGGACCAATCCCAAACGGGCCCAGGCTTGGGCCCGCAAGGGACCGGTCCCTTGCCCAGCTCTAATGCTAAGGTTGAATGTTCATTAACATGTCAAACAATGTCATTTTAACAAAGATAATAATCTGGTGAGACATTATAATAAAAACCCTCAAACAAAGTATATTAAGTTGCACGTATGCCTTCCATCACCATGGGTTTAATCAAATCACTGTTCATAGGAACCTTGTTCGCCACAACAAAGGGTACACTTCTACCAGTGGGATGTTAAATTTCATTGGAGTTTTCCTTAATGGTGATGGGTCAACTTAAAATGACAATTTTGCTTGTTCGCCACAGCAAAGGTTGATAAACACGTCATAGGCATAGTAAAGAAGTACACATGTTGTGTACGTGGCGACATGTAATGTCCACTCTACTGATACTGAGAATCACACTTGAGGACGATGGCTATACCGTTAGATTGTGTGATTGGCATGTTGACTTGTTTCACATTTGAGGTTGGTAGTAAGAGCTATCAATTGGTGTGGATTAAGTTGTTGGCCTACTTAATCAATCCATTTTGGCTTGTTTGCCACATCAAAGGTTTGAAATGGGCCAGATGAGATCTCAATCCACTAGGAAAGCCAACAGGCTTTCCCGAGTTAAAATGTTTTAATATTTAGATAAAAGTTAAGTTTTTTGGCTTTTTTATTTGATCTGATTATTTGATAAAAGTTTTTTTTTTTTAAAAAAAAAAACCTAAAATGTCTAAATCAAATAAAATTAAACTTATTCATATTTAAGGCCGAAAAATAAGCAACCCCTGAGAATAAACTTAGTTGACTCTTAATTCCATCTATTTCAAATATCTAAACCAAAATTCACTTGTTAAATGGTGACACATTAATAATTTAATTTTATACATTTGGTGATTATCTGAAATACCAATTTGTCATATTGTACATCTTTTGTACTTTAATTTTAATACTTCAAAATAGATAAATTGACTATTGTGATAGTTAATTGAAAACAAAAAATATAGTAGGTTGATTTTGTTAAGGGTGTCTGTGTCATACGATGTCGTTTTGGTGGTACGAAGGGCCTAAGGGCAAAACGATAATTCCAGCAACATCATCCTCTCTTTCGCTTGGCCAGGCTTAAGCTTTAGAATCTCTGGCAGAGTGGCACCACAAACATTTTCATCTTCCAAATTTCCCAAAAATAAAAAATGAAAATGGCGTCAATCTCAACATGTTTCTCTCTAACTCCAAAATCTCGCCTTATCCTCTTTACTTCAAAATCTTCCCTTAATTTAAAGCCTCCCGATTCTTTTTCCAGAACTCAAACACTCGTTTTCCCCAGAATTTCTTGGAAAAATCCAAACCCTAGGGTTTTTGTTCCTGTTGTTCGAGCAAGCATCGATGTAAACGCTGGAGTGAGACCTGGAAGTGTTGTGGAGAGTGATAAGCTGCCGTCTGATGTTAGAAAGCGGGCCATGGACGCCGTTGATGCTTGTGGAAGAAGAGTCACCATTGGTGACGTGGCCAGTAAAGCTGGGCTTACTTTGACTCAAGCTCAAAAGGCTCTCCAAGCTCTTGCCGCTGATACTGATGGTTTCCTGGAGGTAATTTCAAGTCATAGTACGAATTTATTTTGTAATTGTTTCTAGTTTAGTAAAATGTAACTTCAATTTTGAGAACATGGGTTGTGAAATTTCAGTGTAAATTTGCTTAGTAATGAAAAGCAATGTACAAGTGTCTTGATTAAAATCACTAGTTAAAAGTATAATAAATTGGGTATGTTTGATAAATTTTATGAAATTTAGGGGGAGTCTTTGAAAACTTTAGATGAGATTTATGGTCATTCTCACAATGACAGCAAAGGGTTTTAGTAAATAATTTTGTTACTTGATAACTGATTTTCATGTATTAGCATTTAGCAATTCTTTTGCTTTTATAGATTTTGAAATGGAACTTGTTTAGTTATTATTTATTTTTATTCTTGATTCATGAGTGCAATTGTTTTCAAGATGGTTTTAACAGGTCTCGGATGAAGGTGATGTCTTGTATGTTTTTCCAAAGGATTATCGTGCAAAACTTGCTGCCAAGTCATTTAGGATAAAAGTAGAACCTTTGGTTGAAAAGACAAAGGTATTAATTTCATAACATAATGTGCTGAGATTCTGTTTCAAAGAGAAGAAATGAATGTCATATAATTTATATTAGTGTCATAATCTAATGAATTCTGTAATTTTCAGGCCGGGGCTGAGTATTTAATAAGGGTTTCTTTTGGGACAGCTCTTATAGCTTCAATTGTTATTGTTTATACTACAATAATTGCTCTTCTTTCAAGTCGGAGGTATCTTTTGAATTTGGCTCTTTAAATGTTATTTTACATTGACCATGTGCTCTTATTAATTGAATGAGTGATTGTTTTTCATTTTATTTTTTTATGTTCTGTCACAGCAAGATATTGACGGTGAAATTCTTGATTACAGTGATGAAGACAATCGTGGAAGGCGAAGCAGATCATACGATACGGGATTCACATTTTACGTCAATCCATTCGACATGTTTTGGTAAACTTTCTGGTCGTTCAGAATTCTGAGCATTGTTTTCAAACCATGAAAAGCTGATGATTTACATGTTTGACTGTTTTAATCAATGATAATATAAACACATTATCTTGGATAGTTCTGGCTGCCATTATCGTTGGCTTTAGTTTTATGTGTGATAAGGGCCACAACAGTTATTGCTAGTCTAATTAATTTTATACTCTAAAAGTGGGGGTTTTTTTTTTTTTTTTTTTAATACTTCAGCCCTCTGTGCTTACTGCTCCCTCATTGGCCATGATCTTCTCTAAAGAGTCCCTTATTTTCATGTGGTCACAAACATTTTGTAACTTTTTGCGGTTTTGCCTTCTAATTTCATGTAAGGTACTGGGATCCATATTACTACAGAAGACGACGAGTACGTGCCGATGATGATGACAACAAAATGAACTTTGTTGAATCTGTATGTATAAAATTGAATCATGCCTGATGTTTTTTCTGGTTGCTTCCTATTTTTGAAAGAAAATTTGACTTAATAAATGGCTTTCTTTCAGATTTTCTCATTTGTGTTTGGAGATGGTGATCCAAATCAAGGAATTGAAGAAGAAAGGTGGAAGTTGGTAATATTTCGGCATTGAATTCAGTGGTCCGTTGCTTGCAACATATATATAATAATTCATTGGTTGTGCTATTTTTACCTTTGTTTGCTGTTAGCTTGCCCCTTGTCAAAGTAACACTGTTTAATCTGGCCTTTTGAAAACTCTCCCTTCTCTCTCTTACAAGCTATTTGTAGAAACCCTTTATATTTTGCAATTGATTATTTTTCATTTCACACACAGTGAATCGTATTGGAAACAAGCAAATTTTCTGATATGTTGCAACATATTAATATGGATACTTGTGTCTCAAGTGCTTTTGAATAACATTGTAATATTTCATAAAGATATCTATTCTGCACCTTCATGATTTAGTTAAAATATAACAGTGATCTACTTCAGTTGTTATTTAAAGCGATCAAATATAATCTGGTGACCGATGAATCTTTCACCTCTTCTCAATGAGTAGTAGTTGTTTTTAGGTGCTAAACTGGATCTATTTGTTACTTAATATTCTTGGCCTAAATTGAGGTCTACAGCTGTAAAGAACAATAGTAATTTACCTGTTGTCTTTGGAAGGCGTTTCTTGTTTGAGAATGGTTGTAATGATAATGTTTCATTGATAAAACAGAATTTGCATTGTTTTTTTGGTTGTTTTATTTTAGCTTTCATTAGATCTAATGACACAATTTATTGATTCTTTNGCTTATGCTAGCAATAAGAGGTATAACGACGTTGTGATGGTGTTCAAGAAGATGGAGGATAAGGGGTGTAAACCTACTTTGGTAACTTACAATGTGATTCTGAATGTGTATGGGAAAATTGGTATGCCCTGGAATAAGCTTATGACTCTAGTAGAGAGAATGAAGAATGCTAAAGTTGCCCTAGATTCTTATACTTATTGAAACAACAGTGTTTGTGAAATATGTTGCTGGATTATTTCCCCAAGCAAGATGGGAATTTATACAATGTACAAGTTACATGAATTAGGAAAGAATTGATCCTAAATAATCAAGGATATATACACAATATCAGTCTACCATATTTACACAAATCAATCTAGGAAATACTATCTCTATTTTCTTAATATATCTTAACAGTCAATCTAGGAAATAATATCTCTAGTTTCCTAATATATCTTAGCACTCCCCCTCAAGCTGGAGCATATATGTCATATGTTCCAAGCTTGTTATAAATGTATCCGATTCGGGAACCTCTGAGAGACTTAGTAAGAACATCTGCTAGCTGGTCATTTGAGTTGACAAAACTGGTGACAATGCATCCAGATTCAATCATCTCTTGGATAAAATGACAATCAACCTCCATATGATTTGTTCTTTCGTGAAAGACTGGATTTGAGGCAATATGCAGAGTAGCTTGATTGTCGCATATTAGTTTCATCTGCTTCACTTCACTACACCCCAATTCTTGAAGAAGTTGTTTCAACCAGATGAGCTCACAAGTCGCGAGAACCATAGCCCCATATTTTGCCTCTACACTTGATCTAGCGACTACATCTTGCTTCTTACTCTTCCAAGATATTAGATTGCCTCCTATCATGATACAGTATCTAGAAGCAGATCGTCTATTTGATGGAGACCTTGCCCAATTAGCATCAGAGTACCCAACAATTTGAGAATGGCCCCTATTTTCATATAGCAAGCCTTGTCTCGGAGCTCCTTTAATATACTTGAGAATGTGAACTGCTGCGTGCCAATGACAATTACATGGGGCCTGGAGAAATTGGCTAACCACACTAACTGCAAAGGAGATATTTGGTTTGGTGATCGTGAGATAATTCAGCTTACTAACCAATCTTCGATACCTTCCAGGGTCTTCCAATGGCTCTCCCTGTCCAAGAACAAGTTCGACATTGGGATCCATAGGAGAATCCACAGGCTTATAGTCTAACATACCTGTCTCCTCAAGAATGTCCAAGGCATACTTCCTTTGTGATATAGCAATACCAGCCTTAGACTGTGCTACCTCAAATTCCTAGAAAATACTTTAGCTTCCCCAAGTCCTTGGCTTGAAAGTGGCTAAACAGATGCTGCTTTAATTGAGAAATCTCATCTTGGTCATTACCTGTTATGACAATGTTATCAACATAGACAACCAAGTATATAAATTTACCATGATCATTATGGCGGAAAAAAACTAAATGATTAGCTGTACTTTGTGACAACCCAAACTATTAAATCATAGAACTGAACCATCCAAACCATGCTCTAGGTGACTGCTTGAGACCATATAAAGACCAGTGTAGATGGCACACCAATCCTGACTCCCCCTGAGCGACAAACCTTCGTTGCTCCATATACACTTCCTCAGCAAGTTGACCATACAAAAAGGCATTTTTAATATCCAACTGATGAAGAGGCCATTGATACATGGCCACTAAAGTAATAAGGAGGCATACTGAAGTAATCTTAGCAACAGGAGAGAAGGTATCACTGTAGTCGAGCCCATGGATCTAAATGTACCCTTTTGCAACAAGGTGAGTCTTCAGTCGATCAACTTTGACATTAGGACCAATCTTAATAGTGTAAACCCAATGACACCTAACAACAGTCTTGCCTAGTAGTAAGGAAACCAACTCCCAAGTACCATTATGATCTAGAGCAGTCATCTCCTCAATCATGGCAGCTCTCCACCCTGTATGTGCCATTGCCTCGCTAACAGTGTTATGTATAGGGATAGAAGACAAGTTTGAAATAAAGGCAGAATAAAATGGAGATAAATGATCATAACTAAGAAAATTATAAATAGGATGTGGGTTTCGAGAAGATCGAATACCTTTGCAAAGGGCAAGCGGAGGAGTTGCCTCGTCTATAGGAGACATGGCCGGAGCATGCAACGAAGGAACAACAGATGGGTCATCATGATTGACCGAGGTACCTGTATCAAGAAGGAAAGTACCATTAGGATTAGTAGGAGAACAAGGATGACGAGAATAAACTTGGAAAGGAGGATGATCCATCGACGAGGAAACAGGGATGCGGATAGGGATAGGTAAGGTGGTAAGGATAAGATTGCTTTTGACAGTGTTTTCAAAAAATTATGGAGATGTCTCAAAGAAAGTTACATCTGGAGAAACAAAATATTTGTTAGTGGTTCAGTCATAGCAACGGTAACCTTTTTGGAGGTGAGAGTATCCGAAGAAGATACACTTAACGAATTTAAACTGTAATTTGTCTTTGCTTGGAGTATGATCATGAACAAAGCAAATGCAACCAAACACTCGTAAATGTATTGGGTATGTGTCTTTACCAGGAAACAGAATGGAGTGGTGAGGACTCTTATGTTGCAAGACAGAAGAAGGCATACGGTTAATCAAGTAATAGGTGGTGAGAACTGCATCCCCCAAAAATCGAAAAGGAACATGATGATGTATAAGTAAGGTACGGGCTGTTTCAACAAGATGACGATTCTGCTGAGAGTATAGGCACATGAGGTCTAGTGAATTATACCTTGAGAAGACATATACTTAGTAAAGGGAGAAGATAGATATTCCCTAGCATTATCACTACGCAATATCTTAATAGAAACACCAAATTGATTACGAATCTCAGCACAAAAATTATGAAAGATAGAAAATAACTCAGAACGAGTTTTCATTAAAAATACCCAAGTATTACGAGAATAGTCATCTATAAATGTAACAAAATAATAGAAACCCAAAGTTGAACCGACAAGACTAGGACCCCAGATGTCGGTGTGAACAATATCAAACATTGAGATGGCCCTATTATTAACTCACCTGGGAAAGGAAGCTCTAGTTTGTTTTCCAAGTTGACATGACTCATAATTAAAAGAAGATAATGTAGACAGACTAGGTACTAATTTCTGAAATTTGGCAAGACTTGGATGACCAAGATGGCTATGAAGAATGTCGGTAGATGCAGCGGAGGCAAAGGCAACCAGCAGATTTGGATCAGAGAAGTGGTACAGTCCATGTGATTCATGTCCTGTTCCAATCGTCTGACCCATGTTCCGATCCTGCACTGCAACAGAGTCAGCAAAAAAGGTGATAGAATAGTTAAGATATTTGGTTAACTTATTAATAGAAATCAGATTGTTTGGACATTTAGGGGGAGAATAAGATTGAGATTAAAGAAATGGAAGGAAGTGGTCGAGCTTCTCCTATCCCTTTGACCATAGTCTGTGAACCATTAGCAAGAGTAATTTTTGATATAGTGGGAGAAGAGGTAATTTGAGATAAAAGATTTTTATTACCAAGAATGTGGTTAGATGCTCTGGAATCCAAAATCCATGGGCCAGTAGAGGAGGTCCGACTCAGATAGGCAAAGGAATTACCAGTTTGGGAGGTGCCAGATAAGGATGACTACTACTTGACAGCTTAATATTGAAGATACTCATTGTAATCAGCCCCATACAATGTAATGGATTTGGGTTGTTGGTCTTTAGCATCGGGTAAGGGAAGGAGTCCATCTCCAGTTTCTTGAGCCACATGAGCGATGGATCGATTAGAAGATTGAAGTGGTGGCCTCCCATGCAAAGCCTAACAAGTGTCTCGGTTGTGGCCATTCTTGTCACAATAGGTGCAATGTGGTCTAGATCCCTTTCGAGAACCACTTTGTCCTTGCTGATTTCCTGCTTGAACAGCTAATTTTGATGCTTCTGCCATTGTAATCAAGAGAAGTGAGAGATAAATCCAAAACGGTAGAAACACCCTCTATCAGAGTTGAATCACCAACAAGAAGGAAGTGGAGGAAACCGATTGCCTGAGAAGAACCAAACGATGCCGATGAACTAGGAGAATCGAGAAATAAACTCCCCAAAAGCAAAGAGGAGCGTCTCCTTTAAAGATATGTTTTAGGGTTTTTGAAATAGATGGATTTAGAATAAGAAGAAGGCCAAGAACCAACCTGACTCTGATACCATGAAATAACAGTGTTTATGAAATATGTTGCTTGATTATTTCCCCAAGCAAGATGGGAATTTATATAATGTACAAGTTACATGAATTAGGAAAGAATTGATCCTAAATAATCAAGGATATATACACAATATTAGTCTACCATATTTACACAAAT